AGTTTGTGGTTACAAGGATTGAGTCCTACCAGAGTCCTTGCTGGAGTTGTGGGGTGGTGGTGGTCTCTAAGTTTATTAGCATGTGGGTAGGTTCTTCTGTTTTTAATGGGTTTTCTCTTTAAGAATAAATCTGTGAATCTTGCTTGCTGCTAGTCTAAAGGAAATTTCAGGTGAACACAGAAATTTCTGGTTCGAGTTGATTTTTGAACATGGGTCTCTCCTTTTTGCCTCTCCCCACCACACTCTCTCATACCAAACTACAGCCAACAAGGGATAATTGCATTGGCTTGGAAGTTCTGGTAAAGTGATGAGTAATGAAATAGTTTGCTTAACTGTTACCCATAGAATTTGGAGTCAACATCCCCCTGAGATGAATAGGGCAATTCACACCACTCTGAGCTATCCTTCTGATGCATTAGCTTCCTGTATCTTTGAATAGTTTGGAGTCAGTTTCACAAGAGTTGCCAGTTTTCTTGATTCTATTTTACGAGTGACATGTTTGGTGTCTTTACGGTCCCTAGTCTTGAGAGTGCAGCCTAGTCTTAACTAGGAAAAAAGGTCTCAACATACGTTAGTTACCAAGAATTCACACTAGAATGTTACTACATGTTAGTTGACAAGGCGGTCTATCATCCATCCTCTTCCTCCCTCCTCCCCCCCCCCCCATTTCCATAAGCTGGTCAAGGTAAACATTAGAGGGTTTATTTTAACCACCTAACGTGTGGAAACAGCCAACTGTCTTGTCCACACTATGATTTTACCATTTGGGGGTTTCCACATGGCAGATCCAAAACACATGGATTTTGTGGCAGATATCCTTTGAATTCAAGAAGCCCCATGTGTACTAATACTATTGTTTGTAGCAATAGCTATATCAGGGTTGCAAAATGGCTTCCTATAACCCTGTTTAGAGGGTGATTAGTCCAAACATAAGACATTTCAGGCATAAGAAGAGGCAAGGAGTTTGGGTATGTCTACACTGGCAGAGTTACAGGACCGGCAGTTACAGCGCCACTCAGAGTGCTGAAGGGAAACTGCAGTTGTGTGTTCATACTGTCAGCTGCCTGCGCAATAGCGTGTTCACACTTTTGCAGTGGTATTCGGAGCAGTGCACTGTGGGCAGCTGTCCCACAGAGCATCTCTTCCTCTTCTGCTGCTAAGAGATGGGGTGGGGATGACGATTGGACACCTGAGGACAGGGCAGTAGAGTTCGAACTGATGACCAAAGAGGTGAGAACAGACATTGTGGGACACCTCCCGGAGGCCAATCGTAGTGCTGTACTCGACCAGGGTGTCTACACTGGCATCTGTGGTGCTGTACCCCCAGCGCAGAAAGCTGTATGCCTTTTGGGCTATTTTTTACAGCACTGCAACTGTGCATTTTCTGCGCGCTAAGTGGCTTGGCGGTGTGTACATCTCGGGTGTTATAACGCAGAAAGCTGCTTTACTGCGTAGCAACTTCCCAGTGTTGACAAGGTCTATATCTCAAACTTTGAAGGATTAGATTTTTATTGGTAGATGATTTCACAGTACACACACTGACCAGTTTTTTTCCCAGTGATAATTGAAACCTACTGGTAGGCAGAAAAACGTTACTTGAGAACTTTGTGTGTGATTTAAGGATATTTACCAACATCACTTGTCAAAATATACGAAGTAATTTGTCTTAACTGTTATAAAGCCTTAACTTTTTGAATCCTTGAACTTCTGATGTATGGGTGTTTAGCATATTAAAATAAATGCCAACTCTACCTTTGTTTGTACTGCTACCATTTCTCATGCAAGAAAACAATGAAAATTCAATACCTTTATCTTAATTTGGGGATGGGATGAGCACCATCTCTAATTTTAAAATGTTTAGAAGAATGCATGCGCACACTTACCTGAGATTCCTTCCCCTTCATAACACTCATCCATACTTACCTGGTTGGACTGATTAGACTGTGTTGGAGTCTCAAACAGGTCCTGACTTGCAGCATGGCTGGAGTCCCATGCTGCGTCTCCCCCTGTTTCTCTTTCTGTTTGCTGTTCACGGCATGGGTCTCTGTCTGGGGCTTTTTCTGAGGTATCCCCAGTGGTCTGTAGGATGCTGGTGGGTTTTCTGCCAAATGTGGCATGCAGCCCATTGTTAAAGCAGCAGGTCCGTGGTTCAGAACCAGATCTATTGTTGGCCTCATGATATGGCTGGCAAATTTCCTTTGTGTTCACATGGCGCTGCTGATTCCTGTTGAATCCCTTTGTATCAGGGATGCAGGCAATCTATTAATAACGTCCATCTTCCTATGGCTGGTTCATATCTGGCAGGCCCATATCTGTTTGCGCAGCCTTTTTCTTTCCACAGGTCCAAGAGATCCAGTATTTCCTGTCTGTTCCAGGCAGGAGTATGTCTAGTGGGTGGACCTGTCATGGTCAGTTGCACAAGGGTGAGCTGCTAGGTGTGCTTGCTAAGGTGGACAATCAGGGAAAGGTATTTAAAAAAACATTCAGGTGTCTTAAAAGGGATGGAATGGCTTCCAGTTTGTGGAACTGCTCGGCAGTGGAGCTTATACTTGTGACCAGAGTGGACGATGTCACAGGAAATGGACACGTTATGGGACAACTTCTTGAGAACTGCTAGGGTCCCCACAGGTCATGCAATGTCTACACTTGCATTGTGTCAACCTCAGTAGATCAGCTGTCCCTGCATTGCTGTAACTGGCTGTTTATGTAGGTCAGAGACAAATTTGAATAGACATATGCACAGATAAGTTGAGGCAAGGCAATGCATGTCCTGTATGACTTATGATCCAGTATCCTGTCTTCAGACAGTGGCCAATGCCAGATGCTTCAAAGGGAATAGAACAGGGCAATTATCAAGTGATCTCTCCCCTGTCATCCAATCAGAGCATCTGGCTGTAAGAGGCTTAGGGACACCGAGAGCATGGAGTTGCATCCTTGACCATCTTGGCTAATAGCCATTGATGAATCTATCCTCCATCAACTTATCTAATTCTCTCTTGAACCCTGTTATCCTGTTATGGTTTTGGCCTTCAGAGTCCCCTGGCAAAGAGTTCCACAGTTTACTGTGCATCGTGTGAAGAAGTACTTCCTTTTGTTTTAAACCTGAGGCCTATTAACTTCATTAGTAACAGTGCAGTGTAGACTAGGCCTCAGTCTTCAAAGAAGTCCCCCAACAAAACTGGATACATTTTTTTTCTGGTACTTCTGAGATAAATAGGGGAATAATTTATTAATTTATCTCTTCCGCCCCCCCCCCCCCCAAGAGAAGCATGCTTTCAGGCTTGTAGTATAAAGAAGCACAAAGGAGACCAACCAAAACATTTTTATTTGGAGGTTACCTTTAAAAGTAATTATTCTATGTAGGAGATGGAAGGGTGTAACTTCAAACATCAGGTATCCTTTAAAGCATGGAGAGCCAGAAATTATGACGTATGGCCTAAAAATTAACCTGGAACTGGTTTTGCAAACCTGTAAATATTTAAATACTGGGTTCCCTAGAATCAAGTTGTTGCTTATCTGTGTTTTTTGTCTGGTTGTACCATTGTTTTAGCAATCTGAGTACTGTCTGGAGGTAAAGCTAAAACTGGGTATTTCCTTAATTCATTTTGTGTCTTCATCATGTTAGATATATTCTTGAACCATGATACATCTCTCCAAGAATATCAGGTCTGTTCAGTGTCTTAGGAAAAATACCAAAGAGAATCATGAAGTGCCACTTGACTGTTCAATGGGGATGTAAACATGAAACCCCTTTAGCTATGACTTCGAGCATGTACAGTAGAACCTGAGTTACAAACACCAGAATTATGGACTGACCAGTCAATTACACATCTCATTTAGAACTGGAAGTATGCAATCAGGCGGTAGCAAATACAGCGCAGTGTTGTGTTAAAAGTAAACTACTTTAAAAAAAAAAAAGGGGGTGGGGTGGGGTTAAAAAAAATCTGACAAGGAAACTGTTTCTGTGCTTGTTGTATCTAAAGTAAGATGGTTTAAAAGCATTTTTCTTCTTCATAGTAAAGTTTCAAAGCTGTATTAAGTCAATGTTCAGTTGTAAATTTTTTTGAAAAAACAACCATAATGTTTTTGTTCAGAGTTTTTTTGAACATTTCGAAGTTACAAACATCTCAGGAATGGAGAAGTTTTGTAACTCTGAGGTTCTACTGCAGAGCCTGCACCCCAATCCCCTGCCTCAGCCCGAACGCCGCCGTCCCCCCCCCCCCCCCCCGCACCCTGAACTCCTCTTTTCTGGCCTCACCCCAGAGTCCGCACCCCCAGCCAGAGCCCACTCCAATTTCATGATCATTCATGGCCCGCCATACAATTTCCATACCCAGATGTGGCCCTCAGGCCAAAAAGTTTGCCCACCCCTGTTCTACTGTATTCATAAAGCTGTAAAGCAGCCTTGTAGTGGGATATTTTATTGGAAAGTGTTGGTTCTATCCATGAAATATTGATAAATATGGAAGGTGTACAGTACAGCAGTTGAACATGCTCAAGCTTTTCAGCTGTATATAGCAGCATTGCTATAGCTGAATGTAAGGTGACTTTGTATTCAAACTGTTAAAAGAAAACAGCCTCCATTTGGGTTTGAGAAGTAACTGGGGGTTGGAGGGAAGCTGGTTTCTGACGCCTAAAATATTAGCTAGAGACTGAACTTGGTCAGAATAAGACAAACTAACCACCAAAGCACTTTTGATGGCGCGCTCTGTTTTGGAATACTATATTTTAGGTAGTTTTTCTAGGCTTATTTAACATAAACATAACAATCATGGTGTCATAACTGAAAACACAAATTTGCACTGAAATTATAAAATGGGAAGCTAATTCAAAACTGGTATTCCCAAAGGCAGTGCAAATTTGACTTAAGCAGTAAGTACTTTAATGTAGCACTTTCATATAATCCTTATGTTTCATTTCAAAATAGATCCGTCATAGCAAATAAGACCTAGTAAGTCTGAAGTTTAACTTTTTTCCTTTCTTCTCTCTTTCTCTCAAAGAAATGACTACTGTTAATGCAGGCAGTGTTAACTTCAAATGGGACCCCAAAAGTTTAGAGATAAGAACACTGGCAGTTGAAAGACTATTGGAGCCCCTGGTAACACAGGTAAGAAATCTTTATATCAAGCTCTCAAGTTTTTGGTAAGTTTCAATTTGATAATTAATTCTCATGCCTTCAAGTTTGAACTCCAGAAATGAAAACCTGGTCTGAAATAGATAAGTGGAAGGGGGTGGGGGAGAAATAAAGAATAAAAGGTTTTTGCTCAGTCTGATGCTTCTAGTCTTAATCTTTGAAGACTTTTGTTGCTTTTGTCACAACTTAATATAACACAATCCTTCATTTAATCAGAAGTGCAAAAAGCACATATCAAATTGCTGCTGAAGTTTTATTGTACTTGCTCTCAGTTTATTCTCTTCTCTGTAGTACACTTTTTTTTTTCCCCAACAAGAATCTTTTAGGTGAAAGACTTACTAAATTGTTCTTGTCTAAATAGTGTTCTTTACAATTGTATCATTAGAAACTGAGATGCTGTAGAAGGTTCTATCTTGCATTAGAACTCTGGTGGACTAAAAGCCCTTACTTTATAGTGGGAACAGCAGCAACTGCTATAGTTAAGATTGTATAACAGCTTTCATTTGAATTCCATGTTAGATAGAAAATTTATAAGCAAAAGGTTCACTTTGGGGAGAGCAGCCAAATGGTGAAAATTGAGCACAAATGGTTGTTGCCTGGAGTACAAGGCAACTAGATATTTTCCTATTTGAAAATACTAGAAGCCCTTTTTGTACATGTCTATAGCCAAAATTAGTTGGGAGGAGTAAGATAGTTGAAATAGGTAATGGAACAAACTCTAATTTAGAAAAAGGGCCTTGGTCAAACTTGGTTTTCATTTGACACAGAACTCTTTGACAACTGCATACTTGTACTTGTGTAGTGTGCAGCCACTGAAGACTTTGCTCTGTGTCTGTGACTACCGTATATACTTATTCATTAGCCCATTCGTTTATAAGCTGACCCCCCAAGATGGATAAGTAAAAATAGCAAAAACTGTATGACCCTTTCATAAGCCGACCCTATATTTCAGGGGTTGGAAAACTTGGGCTCATAGCCCGTCAGGGTAAGCTGCTGGTGGGTCGGGATGTTTTGTTTACCTGGCACGTCTGCAGGCATGCAGCCCCTCAGCTCCCTATGGCAGCCGTTTGCCGTTCCCAGCCAATGGGAGCTGTGGGAAGTGGCACTTCCTGCAGCTCCCATTGGCTGCGAACGGCAAACCGCGACCACAGGGAGCTGAGGGGCTCCATGCCTGCAGATGCTCCAGGTAAACAAAATGACAGTGTATTAGATATTCAATTCAATGATTCCATAGAGCAGGGATCAGCAACCTTCGGCATGTGGCTCGCCAGGGTAAGCACCCTGGCGGGCCGGGCCAGTTTGTTTACCTGCCACATCAGCAGGTTCGGCCAATCGTGGCTCCCACTGGCCGCGGTTCGCCGATCCAGGCCAATGAGGGTGGCGGGAAGTGGCGGCCAGCAAATCCCTTGGCTTGTGTCTCTTCCTGCAGCCCCCATTGACCTGGAGCGGCGAACTGTGGCCAGTGGGAGCCGCAATAGGCCGAACCTGCGGACGCGGCAGGTAAACAAACTGGCCTGGCCCACCAGGGTGCTTACCCTGGCGAGCCGCGTGCCAAAGGTTGCCGATCCCTGCCATAAAGTTTAAAATCATCAAATTTTGGTGTCGGCCCGTTTATAAGCCAACCCCCGCTCTTTGATGTGTCATTTATTTACCAGAAATATTCGGCTTATGAACCAGTATATAGGGCAATTACATAATAAAGTGTACTGAAGGAGATGGAGAGAGTGGGTGCATACCTTGTAAGGCCTACAGGATGGAGACACCCAATAAAAATACTTTAGGCACTCTAAAGATTTGCAGCAAACCCTTTCTCATGCATTGGGGAAAGTATTACAGTGACATCTAGCCTTTTCAAGAATATGGAACTTAAATAATTTTGCCAGTTTGTACAGAATGTGTCAGTTCTAGAGATCTGAAAAACTTTCTTCAATGTGTCAAGATCTGTAGACTTGCAATTAGTCAGGTTCTGTCTCCAAAGCTGAAGTAGGAGTTCATTGGCAAGAAGTAGACTCTATTTCTAGATGAACTTACCATTATTTTCTGTCTCTAAAGTTGTAAAACGCGATTGGATTTCCTACCGTTTAGTTCTGTATCCTTGCAAATTCGGAGTCATTCATAGATTTCTCCCTTCAGGGAAATTCAATTGACAACATCAGAAGAACAAACTTTTTTTTCCAGGCATTCTGAGTTCAGGGTAATTCTCTCTCGTGAGGTACTGCAACAGCCTGTACCTGCAGTTCCAGGTGCTCTAAGTGGTGTGACAGGGAAATAACCAGAAGAAGTTGAAGCAAACTTCCTCTTGCATTAAATGTAGTGCATGAACTGAGATTATCCGTTGGTGAAAACTGTCCCTAGTGAAGGACTGTTATCACCACAGAGGGCTTCTTACCTGTCATGGATCCACTGATAGGCAAGTAGATTGACCTTTTGAGGAGCTCCAGAACCACTTCATTAGCCCTTGAAGTTTCTAGAGCATCCATTTTGTTTCACAAAGGGAGACCTGGCATGGGTGAAATCTGTCAGAGGTCCTGCCATTGAAGATGTGTGCTCTACATACTGGAGGTTCCCTTATGAAAAGTGAGCTAGTGAGTGGGCTGTTGATCCTGGAGCTGTGCCACAGAAGTGTAGCTGGAGATGGAAAAGAGATTCCTGTGACCTGTTGTCATAAGTGAATACTTATGCAGATGTCCTGATTTTTATAGGGACAATCCTGATATTTGGGGCTTTTTTTTTTTTTTTTTTTAATCTGGGCTCCTATTACTTCCCAATTTTTCACACTTGCTATCTGGTCACCCTAGCACTATGGCAAAAACTGAACTTAAATCCTAAAAATAAAAACAAAAAAACCCAATAGTTGTACCAGTTCAAGTCAAGAAGGGCCTAACAACTTTTGTCTAGCTAGTGTTTTAAAGCTACATGTCAAGAAGTGGGACTGTTACAGATGAATCTTAAGTGATCAGTTTTGTTAACTTCCTATTAAAAAATGTAAGAGGCTAAACAAATGGCAGATCTTGTACCTCTTCAGTTTGCAATTTGAAGCTACTTACTGAGACTACCTAAGTATAAAGAAAACCAGAATTTATTCCCCATTTTAAGCACATTTCAGAATGCTACTAGAGCATAATATAGGGACCATAAATCAACAGCGGTATTTGTCTTGTCTGTTGTTAAAAGGCAAGAAAACTTCAATTGTCTGTATCAAGGTGTCTGTGCCCCAGAGTCATGTGCTTTGTAGATCAAATAGTATCTTTCTGCCAGTGTCTACCAAGACTTATTTTTCTTAGAGCAATGGCAGCTTCCTGGCTGGAAAGATTACACTTTTGTATTAAGAGAGATTTGTAAGACACCCCGTAGGTTCTTGATCTTTTTAAAACTAGATGTACAAGCAGTGGTGGATGCAATCTATTCTTATTGGAGCACTACCAAGTAAATGGCTTTGTCCAGAGTTGAGGTTCCACCTTATAGTAACACTACTAATAGAATCCCATCTGTAGGATCTGCAGATATTGCTATTGGAAGACAGTGAATTTTCAGATACACTTTCCTGCTGGCTTTTAAATTAAACCTCTCTTGGGGAGGGTGGGATGGGAGGGGAGAGAAGAGGGGAGTTTGTGGTCACATAGCTAGACTCTCATAATGCACATGCACAAGGGGGCCAAATTAAGGCTGTACACACAATCTCAATTCTTTAATTTTCTGACTTTTGAGTACTTTAGAAGAACATTAAGGCTGCAAAGTAGGTTTTTTTACATGTGCCTTACTGAGGCTTTTAAAAGAGTAAATGGGGGCGGGGGGACAAAAACCAAATTCCATCATGGAATTTTGACACCCACATGGGTCATCTTGAGGCAAGAAGAAAAGGAACAAGACAGTCTGCAAAATATATTTGATGCCTGTATAGGGAACAAGCAAGATGAACTGGAAAACCTGTTATATGAAGCAAATTGTGACTTAATTGGCATAACAGAGCCTTGGTGGGATAACTCCCATGATTGCAGTACCAGCATTGAGGGATACAACTTGTTCCAGAAGGATAGGTATGGGGGGCAGGGGGAGGGAAAGGAGGAGGGATTGTGCTGTATATCAAGAATGCGTACACTTGCTCCAACGTCCAAGAGAAAGTGAGGGGCAGACCTACTGAGAGTCTTTGGGTGAAGATAAAAAGGGAAAAGAATGGCAGCGATCTTATGATGGGGTGGTCTATTATAGAGCATCTAATCAAGAAGAGGAAGTGGATGAGGCATTCTACAAGCAAGTGACAAGATTAGCTAACACACACAAGCTAATATTAATGGGGGATTTTAACTTCCCTGATATCTGTTGGACGTTTATTATAGCAAAACATAATATATCCTGCAAGTTCTTACTTGTGCAGGGGACAACTTTCTGATTCAGAAAATTGAGGCAACAACTAGGGGGTCATCCATTTTGGATCTGGTGTTGATCAATGGGGATGAATTATTTGCAAATGTGAAAGTGGTTGGGAACTTAGAAGAAAGTGTTTATTGATCTGACAGAATTCAAGATCCTACGGAAAGGAGGACATGAGAACAGCAAAACAAGGACACTGGACTTCAGAAAGGCAGATTTCAACCAACTCAGAGAAATAGGCATGGTTCCATGGAAAGACCAATTAGGAAGAAAAGGAGTCAAAGGTGGTTGGCAGTTCCTAAAAGATGTAATACTAGATGCTCAACATCAAGCTATTCTGATGCAGAGGAAAGATAAGAAGAACTACAGGAGGTCAATGTGGCTGCACAAGAAGCTGGGAAGAGGGGCATGTCACCAAGGAACGTATACATGGGAATAACATGAGCATCTAGGGACAAAATCAGGAAAGTCACGGCAAAGAATGAGATACAGCGGGCAAGAAATGTTAAGAGACAACGAGAAGGGATTCTACAAATGTCAGACAAGAAAGATCAGGGATGGTGTGGATCTATTGCTCAATGGAAAAGGTGAGCTGGTAATGG